AGCCAGAGACGTTTTGCATGGCCCTTTCATCCAACTGTATTTGCTTCAGTGAACCAAGGTGGAAAGTTGGCATTTTGGTATTCCATGTTTAACATGGGTAAGAGCGAACTGAATGTGACTACACAAATACAAGACACACACATGCACACACATACACTTTAAGCAAAGAGCGAGTAAAAAGGGTGTCTTTTTGTTCCACAACAATGAACGTAACCTATATTGCGTTCCGTCCTTGAGCTATCGCCCCGCGCTCGGTACATTCCGGTCACAATCGACATGCCCATTATCATGGTTGCATTGCGTTCACGTTAGAAAAATGCCCAGCGCCGAGTTTTCAAGAAAGAAAGCGCACGCAAGCGTGATGACGATTGTTAGTGTGGCACGAAAAAGACACCCTTTTTACTCGATATTTTTTAGAGTGGAGCGCTCCAATCAACAGATTATTTTTTTGATCACAACACTACCTAGAGGGCACAACGATGAGCACAACTCCTGCGCAGAAGTAACCGCAACATTATTGCGCATCGTAATGGACACCAAAAAATCAAATTCCTTCGTCAGCGCGATAGAAGGCATACTAACACACCTTTCCCCCAACTTTTCAATTTCTACTGCGTTTATTATCTCGCGTTTAAGCTGATTCTTATTTCTTGGCAAAACTCCACACGTGTCGAACAGGGGCATACAAGCACACTTTTTACAATGTATTCCTAATAACCACAATGCCCCGTTTTTTCCATTGTAATGATGCTTACGCAGCCGGTCATTCAAGAAAAGAGCAGTTTGTACGACGTAGCAGCGATCACAAGATAGCAGCAGGCATTACACGACACACTCAGTGCACTCAACAAACTTAATTTTGTGATTAGTTTAGCACCGCGATTTTCATTTGCATACTCGTCGTAATATTGTACAACCTTTCCAACTTGTTTGGAGTGGAAAAAGCACGCGCACTTTGGCCCGCTGGGCAAACTTTCTGAAATTATGTAAAACCGCGTGTACCTAAGGTAACACCCTCGTGCGATTCTCCTGCTCAAATAATTTCGCCGCATTTCGGTTTTTGTTTTTGCTGTTCCTTCAAATGCATTCAACTACGGAGACAAGCAAAGCCTGGGGAACCCGGCATCCAGCAACCTCTTCCTTTGCTGATCGAAACTGAATTGGACCGTATGGTGACACAACTTCGTTAGGGCATTGTTGAGGCAATGCTTCGTAAGTGATCTCTTAACTAATTTGGAATGTGCCGACTGGTAGGAAAGAAGGGGTGTACTTGCGCGAGGTTCATAATGCCAACAGGTATGATCGCAGTCGAACGACAGGTGAAGGTCCAGAAACCTCATGGTGCCATTTGGCGGAAGCTCATGCGTCACCTCTAAGGGCTAAGGACAATCCTTGATTGCTGGTAAAAGGCCACTGAACTTAGCAACTAGTCGCTCGGTAGGACAATTCACAAAAAACAAGAAATCATCTACATATCAATAAGTTCTAACTACCTTAGTACCGTTCACCCTTTCTCACAACTTCACAAAAAGCTTAGCTAAAAACAAGTCACTCAGTCGAGGAGCAAGGAAAGAACCAATGCAGATGCCTCTTTTCTGCGGCTGTGCACAATCCTCCCATAAAATAAAGGTAGACTTAAAGTAGCACGTCAGAAGTTGTAAGAAATGCCTACAAGAAAGACCAACCTCGTTTTGAAATATTATTACACCATATTCATCAATGTCTTTTTCAACAGACCGTAACAAATCTTCATACAGAATAGAGTAAAACAAATCTTTTACGTCAATTGAAAAGGCTTGAAGGTGTACGTCATGGTTGATGTTTTTTTTATAATAACCTCTTTCGAATTCCTGAAAAGTACAGGGTCACAGATAGGTAAAATCACAAGCTTTCTTGCAGAAACGACGCTGCTTGTTTTCGCCAAGTGTCGCGTTCAGAGAATATATCTCTGAATGGCACATCTACTTTATGTGTCTTTGCCGTGAAAAACACTGCTAAACAATCGCGCGTTTCCTTCTCAATAATTCTGATCAATTTATCTAGCTTCAACTGCTTACACAGCTCCTTAGCCTCACTTCTCATTTTTGGAAGACGTACTATATTGCGACTGTCAAATACCGCAGAGAAGGCTTCGCCAGCCGTTTCGTGCTACTGAACAAAAAAGAATACGGTGAATTCGCCTCTTTGTCCGCAGGCAACACACACAACGATTTATCGACCAAATAGGAGCCAACGCGCTTAATATAGAGTTTTGAATCGGTCGTCTTACATCGAGAGACGACGTCAACAGCTGCTGAGACGATGCGACCTGCTTCCTTTTGTGGTACATCCTTTGAGATCTGTCTAGCCAAAGACAACAATTCATGGCGTGACTGTTTAGTTTCGATCGCAAACTTCGGCCCTAAAAAGAGGGCCTTCTTGAGCGGTTCTGGTAGTTACACGCCCTCAGACATATGAACAGGATTTTTGGGTGCAGAAGTCTTCGCGGGAAGACGCGTCCCGAGATACGCCAGCTCCGGCTGCCATAAAAATTCAGTAGTCTTTTTAATTAGCTTAAGGTATTCCTGAAGAAATTTCTGAAGGTTCCAGCCTTCCGTTCGCATCAAATTTGCAGCTCCAGATACAGGTGGTACAACCGCACTTGCCTTTGTCATTCAGACTTGAGTATCTTGCAAATCCTCGAAGCATGTCCCGTCGATGGCAAGAATCCGTAGACCAGAGTAGTGAGCTCAAGTAAACCCCTCCTTCCCTACCACTCGGCACGTTTCAAATTAGTTAATAGGGCGAATACGAAGCTTTGCTTCAAGAATGCCCTAACGAAGTTGTGTTACCATACGGTCCAATTCAGTTTTGATCAGCAAAAGAAGAGGTTGCTGGATGCCGGGTTTCCCCAGGCTTTGCTTTCCTCCGTAGTTGAATGTATCTTGAGGGACAGCAAAAACAAAAACCGAAATGCGGCGAGATTATTCGAGCAAGGAAACCGCACGAGGATGTTACCTTAGGTACACGCGGTTTCACATAATCTCAAAAAGGTTGCCCAGCGGGCCAAAGTGCGCGTGCTCTTTTCAGCGCCAAACAAGTTGGAAAGGTTGCACAAGATTACGACGAGAAATGCAAACGAAAATCGCGGTTGCAAAACTAATCACAAAATTAAGTTTGTTGAGTACGCTGAGTGTGTCGTGTAATGCCTGCTGCTATGTTGTGGTCGCTGCTACGTCGGACAAACCGGTCGTTGCTTGAATGGCCGGCTGCATGAGCATCATTACAATAGAAAAAAATAGGGCAGGTGGGTTCTTAGCATTACATTGTAGAAAGGGTGCTTGTATGCTTCGGTTCGACACGTGCGGGGTTTTGTCAAAAAATAGGAATCAGCTTACACGTGAGATAATAGAGGCAGGAGCGATTGAAAAGTTGGGAGACAGGTGTGTTAGTATGCCTTCTATCGCGCTGACGAAGAAGGAATTGGATTTCCTTGATGTCCGTTATGACGCGTAGTAATGTTGAAGTTACTTCTGCGCATGAATGGTGCTCATCGTTGTGCCCTATATGTAGTGTTGTGATCACAAGGACGAACTGTTGAAAGTAGCGCTATGTGTGTGTGTGTGTGCGCGTGTGTGTGTGTGTGTGTGTGTGCGTGCGTGTGTGCGTGCGTGCGTGCGTGTGTGTGTGTGCGTGCGTGTGTGTGCGTGCGTGCGTGTGTGCGTGCGTGTGTGTGCGTGCGTGTGTGTGTCCTTTCTTTGTGATTTTGATTGATATGTGGGGTTTAACGTCCCAAAACCACTATATGATTATGAGAGACGCCGTAGTGGAGGGCTCCGGAAATTTAGACCACCTGGGGTTCTTTAACGTGCACCCAAATCTGAGCACACGGGCCTACAACATTTCCGCCTCCATCGGAAATGCAGCCGCCGCAGCCGGGATTCGAGCCCGCGCCCTGCTGGTCAGCAGCCGAGTACCTTAGCCACTAGACCACCGCGGCGGGGCTTTCTTTGTGTATTCGTAATCAGTGTGCTCTTACCCTTCTTAAACATTCAGTGAACCCACCTGTTACGTTCTGCCACTCGTATGTCAATTGTGCAGAATAGACAGGGGGCACTGTACGTTATACAACTAATTTTTTGGCTCTCTCTCCGCACGGTATTTTCACTGTTCGTTTCTCTCTGTAGGGTGAAGGACTTCCCTCGGATGGCTCGTTGCGGGTGCAGCAAGCTGGCAGCTCTCTTTGGGTGTGGTACATGGCCTCGCCACTGCTTCTTAGAGGCAATCTCGGTTTGAAGGTCATGGTGCAGCGACGCATGGTCCGAATGCGAGCGACGCGATGACAAGCAAACATATCTTGTTTCCCGTGACCGTCCGAGAGGGCCGTGGCGGCCGATTCTCAAATAATTTTGATGACCAGCGCTGCGTTCTTGCCTTGCTGAGTGTCGAAAGATGGCACATAACCGTCAGGGCTACAACATCGATAGATCTCGAGCGTAGTATGCCAATCCGCTGTCGCTTCTAGTCTTCGGCACCGCGTGCCAGCGGGCACGTGGTGCAGATTTTGCAAACAACTTCGCAATAAATCTGCGCAGCGAAAGATCGCTGACATCTTCTGAAGAAGAGAGAGAGAGCACTGGTGAGAAAAAGTGGCAAGGCATGCTGAAACTGTTCAAACACTGGTATAAAGATTAGGTCAGCCCTAAAGGAGTTGCATAAGTTTGCAGTAAACAGATTGGCTGACAGAATGTTAAGACCAACCAGCAGTGGTCACTCCCCTTTTCTTTGTTTACTGCAAGAGAAAAACACTGCATGAAATTCGGTTCGTTTCAATCTAGGCTGCAATTATTTGACTGATATATCAGTAAAGCTCCTGTGGCTTGCACGGGTCATGTGCGTCGAAAGAACGTTTATTGAACGATAGCGCTCTCATATATACATTCTATGCCGAGGGGCGTTGCCCCCAATCTGGCGCACGTGTGCATGACTGTCACATCTCCCTTCTTAAACAAACAAAAAGACTAAAGTTCCGGCATGGGGTATCTTTGCGGTGGCCGGCGATTGCGTTCGCTTCTGCGTAGTTGTGGCTCGGCGGGGCCCACGTCAGCTTGATGTTCTTGTGTGGGGGGCACCAGTGGAGTGGGGGCCAGACGGAGATGTTCTCTGGTGCGCTGCAACTGGAGTCCATCTTCGGTCTCAACAATGTAGGCTCTCGGACTGTTGGCAGGCTTGATAACCGTAGCAGGGGACCAGGTCTTTGATGGTACGTTGTACACTGTGACGCGGGAGCCCTCAGGAAGTCCTGGTAGCGGCCTTGTACCCCTGTTGTAGTAGGAACATTGTCTACTTCTGATGACGTGGAGCCGCCGTTGAACCTCCTCTGGCGGTATGGTCTGCGGTCGCAGGTGGGTTTCCGTGACTGGCAGCAGCGTCCTCGCATTTCGGCCCATGAGTCTCTGCATTGGAGATTTCAAATAGGAATCGCGAGGAGTGTTTCTCCATTCAAGCAATGCAGCACAAAAATCCACTGTGCCGTACCGATACCTCTTCAGCAATTTTTTGGCTTCTTGCACCGCACGTTCAGCCATTCCGTTTGATCGAGGGTGATAGGGGCTGGAGCGAACATGGTGCAAGCTAATCTTACCGACAAATTCACGAAAGTCCTGGCTGCTGAATGGCGGTCCATTGTCCGTGCATAGGCGCTGCGGGAAGCCATGAGTGGCGAATATGTCTGCGAAGGCAGCAATCACCTTGTCGGCTGTCGTCTTCACGGGCCTGATTTCGAAAAAGAAAGAATAAAAGTCAACAACCACCAAGTACTCGGTAGCATTGTGATAGCATATGTCGGCTCCCACAACTTCCCAGGGTAGGCTAGGAATTTCATGGTTCATCAATGGCAAGCGCCGATTTCGTGGCTTGTGCTTTTGGCAGGTCTCACAGCGTCGAGCAACTTCCTCTAGATCGCTGTTTATAGAAGGCCAAAAAAGTACAGCTCGAGCACGTGCTTTCATTTTTTCTGCTCCCCCATGCGCTGCATGAAGGCAGGCAAGAACTTCGCTGCGCATCTTGGCCGGAATGATGAGGCGGTTGCTCCTGAATACAAGGCCATCTTGCGTATGCAGCTCGTCGCGGAAGCTCCAGTAGCATCGTAGCTCGCTGCTGACGTCAGCTTTGCTCTCCGGCCACTGACTGCTTGCGTACTGTCGAAGTTTCACCATCACAGGGTCCTGGTCGGTCTCTTGTAGAACTTGGCTCAGCCGTCTGTCTGAAACCTGCAGGCAAGCAATGGTGTTCAACTGATAATTCAGGCACTGTTCTTTCAATATTGCTTGGCTCGGGGACCGTGATAAAGCGTCAGCAACAAACAGCTGTTTTCCAGGTGTGTATTTGACGACTATCGGGTACCTCTGCAAGCTGAGGCGCATGCGCTGAAGCCTTAGAGGACATTGGCATAACGGCTTCTTAAATATAATTTCTAGTGGCTTGTGATCGGATTCTACCACAACTTCAGGCTGCCCGAAAAGATAGTCGCGGAATCTTTCACAGCCGTGGACAATTGCCAGCATCTCCTTTTCGATCTGGGCGTACCTTTGCTGTGTTTCTGTCAAGGAACGCGACGAATACGCTAGTGGATGCCCGTCCTGTATGATCACTGCGCCAACTCCGTTCTGACTGGCATCTACCGACAGCCTGATTGGTTTCCCCTTCTCGTAGTAGCTTAGTACAGGGGCTGTCGCAAGCGCTTCCTTCAGAGCCTTGAAGCTTGCATCTTGGCGGTCCTCCCAAAGCCACGCGACATTCTTCTTTAGTAATTCTCGAAGTGGTGCTGTTAGGTCCGACATATTCGGAATAAAGCGAGAGACAAAATTTACCATGCCCAGGAACGTCTGCAGCTCTTTCTGGTTGCTTGGCGTCTGGACTTGCAAGATGTCTTCTAGCCGCTGTGGATCCAGGCTCAGGCCGTCGCGCGTCAAAATGTGTCCCAAGTACCGGACGGACTCCTGTAAAAAACGGCATTTCTTTCTGTTCAATTTCAGTTTGTACTCTCGGCAACGTCGTAGGACGTGTTCAAGGTTTGCATCATGCTGCTCTCTTGATCGGCCCCACACTAGAATGTCGTCCATGACAACCGCTACGCCTTCGAGGCCTTCTAGCACGCGGTGCATGGCCCGCTGAAATATTTCCGGCGCCGACGAGATTCCAAAGGGCATGCGCAAAAATCTATAACGGCCGTATGGAGTGCACATAGTGCAAATCTTAGAGCTTTCTTTATCCAGCTTGATTTGCCAGAAACCGGAGGCTGCGTCCAAAGTTGTAAAGTACTGGGCCCCACTTATCGAAGGTGCTATGTCTTCCAATGTTGGCATTGGATAGTGCTCGCGAAGCAGAGCTTTGTTTAGGTCGGAAGGATCAAGACAAATGCGTACCTTCTCTCCTTTTGTAACAACGACCATGTTGCTGGCCCACTCTGTCGGCTCGGTCACTTTCACGATGACTCCAGCAGTCTCCATGCGGTCGAGCTCAGCTTTCACCTTGCTTTGCAATGCTATTGGAATCCGCCGTGCTGGTTTCACTACTCCCTGGGACCCGGGCTTGAGCTTTAGATGGTAGACAATACCCTCCAGTTGACCCAGACCTTCAAACACGTCTTCGTAAGGCTTGGCAGTGCCGTAAAGCTCTATTTGGTCGACAGAGCAGACACGTTGGAGCAAGCCAAGCTCTTCGGCAACTGTACCGCTCAAGGTCACGGCGATTTCGTCATCCACGACGAAAAACTCTGTCAGAATCTTGCTTTCTCTCGTTGCCACTTCAAGACGAACTTGTTTCGTCGCTTTTTTCTGGAAGCCAAAAAATGTGTTTAAAACAACGTTGCAATCAAGTGGCTGCTTGTTTGTTATTTTCTGCAGCTGGCTGCGTGCTATAACCGAGCATGTTGCGCCTGTGTCTAACTTGCAAAAAATAGGCTTTCCTTCTATCTCAACGGTAGCCGTCCAGCGGTCGTCTTTCCCACGGGCATGCGATAGCGTTTCTAACCAGAAATCGCCTTCTTCTGCATCGACAGATGCTACTGCGTGCTCTTTCGAATGAAATCTTTTTTGCATCTTCTTGCAGGCTATCGCAAAGTGATTTCTGCCACCGCATTTCCTGCACGTGCGTCCCTTTGCTGGGCACACACGGTCGGTCTGATGAACCTTTGCGCACTTTGTACAACGCTGACCTTTCGCTTCAGATAGCGCGTTCATCTCGGCTGCGTAATCGCTTTTCGGGCGCGCCTGTATCTCTTCACACTGTTCTTTGCCATGTTCACGAGAGCGACACATTTCTACGGTCTTCGTGAAAGAAGCATTTTCGGAGATTAGCTTTTCTTGCAGCTTTTTATCTCTAATTCCGAGAATAATACGGCTTCTCAGCATACGCTCTTCAAGCTGCCCAAACTCGCAGCTTTTTGCTAGCACTCTGAGGTCTGTCAGCCAGTCATTGAAACTTTCACCGTCCTTTTGGTCGCACTTTCCAAAGCGGAACTCATGGTAGGCTAAGTTTAGAGCTGGTTTGTAAAATGCCTCAAACTTCATTTTCAGTACTTCTACGTCCGACTTCTCTTCGTCAGTTGCAAAATCAAGAGTGCTGTACGTCTTGCGTGCGTCCTCTCCGATAATCATAAGAAAGGTGGCTGCCTGTACCTCTTTCGGTTGCTGGTTCAGGTATGTTGCCGTTGCGAAGAGCTCGAACTCTTGCCGCCATGTCTTCCAGCTTCGCCATACGTCTCCTGTGGTGTCCAGGGCTTTCGGCGGTGGCAATAGCGTGGTGACTGGTCCGCTGGCCTGCTGGCGCTGTTCCCCGTTCTGCATGCTTGTAGCTGGTTGGGACCTCCGAGCCGCCCCTGTTGGCTTGCTACGCGTCCGCTGTTCGTTCGCCGGCTGCGTGTATCGGCTGCGGTCCGACCACTTCTGACACCATGTGGCTTGCACGGGTCATGTGCGTCGAAAGAACGTTTATTGAACGATAGCGCTCTCATATATACATTCTATGCCGAGGGGCGTTGCCCCCAATCTGGCGCACGTGTGCATGACTGTCACAGCTCCGTACAATGTTACTTTCGTCTGGGCCGTAACCGCGTGGTGGTCAATGAGTGAGGTGGGACTCTTTGTATGTAGCAACAGTCCTCTAGGCTCTGACTTAAGAGAGGTAAATAGAAGAGTAAGACGATGTTTACATCTATGTTGTCAGTTTGCTTCTGCAAGGAGTAAATACCTGACTGTAATATTTGGCAACAATATACTCTTAGGTTTTCAATATCTCCAACCTGCCTCCTACTTCATGAACGCCGACAGTTATCTCCTTGACGAGAATTCGATATTTCTCAAGAACACAACACGAACAAACACAACTCGGGCAGTCGACAGGATCGGCGAGCTCTGCAACATCATTCACTGGACCAGCGCTGAGAAGAAGTCTGAGACATCCAACGGTCACCAGCTGAAACTTGAGACGATCCCACAGAAACGAACTCCGCATCGGGGAGGAGATCAAGGAACGGTAGAACATTCAGGAACAGGTGAACAGGGTTTCTCGCGTTCTTCTTAAGTTGGCAAGGCTGCTTGTGTTTAGACCAAATGGTGAGGACACGCAGAAGTGCAGAAAAAATAGTCTAATAACAAGAAAGATGCGATTGTGGCGAAAATAGTTCGGAGTCGAGAACCATTATTAGATGGAATCCTTAATTTTTATGAGCCAAATAAGGCGAAAGCGCCTATTGAGAGGCAATAATTTATAGAGCAGGCATGTCAGATATTGCCAAATTAGGTGATACAAGAACTCTTGAACGTGAAATTCAAAGATTTAATCTCCAAAGTGAGTACTAAAAGTTATTGCAAAATAGAAAATATCCTGAACGCCTCATCGGCACGTTGTTCAATTCTGGGTCAGATACGGGTGATTCAAGGCGACTGCGTTTCGATTCTATCCAGCAAAGTTCAAAAGTGCGCAAAGGGTTTTGGCTGCCCAGTGACGCTGATGTACCGTTATGGTTCGACAAGGTCGAAAAACGTTTTGCGACTTACCGGGTTCCGCACGAAAGTCACGTGCATTTGGTTACGCTAGCTCTAACTGAAGGCGTTCGTTATCTACTGAGCAACCTTAACCCCGAAGATTGTGCAGATTACGAGTCGGTTAAGATGGCAGGGCTGACGGAAGTGAAGCTTTCTCTGGCAGCGTATCTTTAAAGGTTTGAGAAGGCAGTAAAGTGGAAGGAGGTGACAAGATCACAGTTCGGGTCCCGCATCAAAACGTACTTCTTCAATTACATCCAAGTGAGAGAGGCCGACACTGTAGGTGCGGTGGCAGAACTCATGGTGACTGATCGAATAAAATCGGGACTTAGTACGAAGAGTCTTGAGTATGTGAGATCACGAGAAGGCGAGGGATGGCGTAGGCCAACTTAGATCACTAAAGTACTTCAAGCGTTCACACAAGCGAAATGTGAAGGGCGTGCTTCAAAGCAAAAGGTTGCAGAAATGGGCCACAAACGTTTGACAAGAATAAATAAAAGAGTCTTAAGGAGGGTGACGTATGACACGGCTCCGGTCATTTTGCGAACGCGTGGATGAAGTCTAGTGGTAAAAAGAACGAAGAGAAGGCTAGCGAGCCAAAAACAAACAGTACAAAAGGTAATGAAGGTAATGATAGCCCAAGATAAGGGGAGTCAAATGCCTGATGGAGTGTTTAGTGCAAACATAAAATCACTAAAACACAAGGCTGACGGCACGAATAAACTGCAGTTCCTTCCTGTGTTCATTACAGTACCCCCCTGTAATGCCCTTGGGCGCTGTGGGTATTCTAAAAATAAATGAATAAATAAACAAATGAAATAAATAAGTTATGTGCGGACATACCCATAGATGCGATTCTGGATACAGGGAGCGGTATAACTGTAATACAAGATAGTCTACTTCCGCGAAGCCTAGTAGAACCATCAGGCATGGTAAGATTAGTTACGTCGTTCGGCAAAACTATTAAGGCGCGGCTAACTACTTTGCCGTTGAAATTAAACCATCTGAAACGGGTCCCAGAGCATCACAGTGTAGACCTACTGTGCTCTAATGATCTCGTCGAGAGCACAGACTGTTTGTTGACTGAGGAAGATTGGAAGCGTTTAATAAAGGCCAACAGTTCTCTGGCACCCAGTTGAGTACCGGCTGAGCCTGCTCATGTGGCAGAACCATCGGCTGAGAAACAAAAGAAAGTGGCCTGCACTCCTACCTTGGAAGACAAAGACGTTTCCAGGGAAGATTCGCAAATCGAGGAAGAGAGGGATGCTTCATCAGGCCAGAGAGAAAAGTTCCGCAATGTGCAGGTGGGTAACTGCACGCTAAAGATATTTTGGCAAGACGTTCGCAGTGGGAAACCAGGCATGTTTATTTCAGACAGACCACCGCGATTCTACTGCGTTACCACTGCGATTCCATAGCAGGCTCCCGAGTGAGTCAGCTAGTTGTCCCCAAATATAGGCGCACTGAGTAATGCGTTTAGCTTTAGAGTCAGTATGTGGGGGCATTTCGGACCACAAAAAACATAAGCTCAAATTAGGTGCAACTTTTTGGCGGGGTATGGTGAAGGCGATACTAGATCGTTGTTATTCGTGCCACGAGCATAAATTTGTTCAGACAGACGTCGCACGGGTACGGTGCCTATCACTCCGCTCACCAGACCAGAGCACCTTTTCCAAGCAATTAATGTACACGTTGTTGGACCCTGGACACGCTGTCAGCGAGAAGCCATGAGTATGCACTGTGCTTAGTGGGCCTTTGCGCGAGGTGGCCAGAGGTACTCTCACTGTGCTCTCTGAGAGCTAAGGCTACTGATCGAGATTCTCAGTCGCAGAGGCGTTCTGGAGATTGTCTGCTCCGATCAAGGTGCTAATTTCAGATTACAGCTTCCACAATTCATGCTGGCAAAATTATGTTGCACGCCAAGATTTTTAACTCCAGAACACCCAAAGGATAATGAGGTTGTAAAGAGGTGCAACCGAGTGTTGGAAAAAGGCTGTATCATGTCTTTCAAAGATACTTTAAGAATTGGGACAAATTGATGCCAATGGTTTTATGGGCCAATCGGGAAGTTCCCCACGAGGTAACCGTAGTAGCTCTGTTTCGTCTGCTGTATGGAAGGAATCCTACACGCGCACGTTTAATACTGCGAATGACATGGACGAGTCAGGTGCCGGTGCCTGCAACTTCGAGAAAAAACTCAGCTAAGTATTTACAGCAACTTAGCAGCTTGAGGCTGCCGCTAATATTCTGGCATTTACTAGAGCGACCCATCAGGACAGTTATGCCAGTGCATATAGTCGCACCACCAAGCTCAAAGTTTTTAAGGCTGGCGACCAAGTTCTGGTTTTTGACAATGATTGAAAATATAAAATGGGATCACGCTTGTTGGATTTGTGCGCGAACATTCTTACTGGGTTGAAACATCTTAGGGTAAAGTGTGAAGTGTCCACGCAAAGAACATTCAGCTGTATATTCAGCCATATTGGGGTCATTTTCAACAGAGACCATGACTTCGGGGACATAGCATATGCTGCGCAACCGGCCACTATAAATTGGGAAGAGTTAGTTTTGACTAGCGAGAAGGTGGCTCATCTTATAGCAAACGCATGGGCGGAAATAAAGGTGGTGTTTCAAAAATATCGCAGACACTTTTATGGCACACTGAATATTTTAAATGCAGATGCGCATAGGATAGAAACAGAAGCGCGTCACCAGCCAAAAAAGGCGTTTTCTCATTTGGTTCTGGAACCGTAAAAGAAAGAAGTGAGTCAGAAATTCAATGAACCTTTGGAGTCGAACTTGATCTGTCCTACAAAAAGTGAGTTTGCACACCCAATAGTATGCGTAAGAAAAACTGATTGGACTATCCACACGTGTGTGGACTACGGAGTACTGAATTTTGTCACCAAATTGAATGCGTTTCCCAGGACGTATCCCCAAAAATAATATTTAGAGTAGAAAGTGGGCATTTCATTACTGTGGTTGATCTTAGGTGCTGGTACTAGCAGGTACTGATGGAGGAACAGCCAGAAATTCATCGCGTTTGTAATGCACGAGGGTCATGCATGGAAAGGTATGCCCTTCGGGCTCAGAAATTCTGTGGCAACCTTTTTAAGAAGAGTGAATAAACTCTTGTCGCAACGTCAGATGCTTACCACGGCATACCTTGATGATATTTTGATTTTTATAGCACTTGGGAGGAACACGTAAAGCATCTCTACACTGTCCTCTAGGTCTTAGATAAGGTGGGGCTGAGAGCTAATCCGGAGAAGTGTCAGATCGCACCGTCTTGCATTCACTACGTGGAGTTCAGAAACGGTTTCCTGTCTGTTCAGAGATGGTTCAGAGACGCATGCTCTAGACCCAGAAAAGATAGTAGCATTTAGGAATCTCGTGCCACCATGCACTAAAAAGGAACCACGCATCTTGTTAGGACTTTGCGACTATTATCGCGAGTTGGTCCGAGGATATGCAGAGGTGACGAACCCGCTCAACCTGCTAACAAATAAATCGGTACCTAATAAGATACCCTGGCCAGTGGAAGGTCGAAGGGCATTTGACATGCTCAAGGAATGTATGTACGAGGTGGTGGCACTAAGCACCCTGGATCCATCTGAGCCCTACTGGCTTTTCACATACGCATCAGCTACGGCAGCAGGCGAATGTTTGACACAAATGTCAGCCAAGGGCGAAGAGAAGCCTATCGAATTTGAATTTCATCGCTTCTCACCCACCCAGATGTGTTGGTCGACGATTAAGAAGGAAGCGTTCTCAATAATAACGAAGTTAGGCTACTTGCTTTTGGGGGCTATTGTAAATGTCGTTTCTGACCACAATCCGTCGTCGTACCTTACAATTTCAACTCCACACGGGGTGAATTTGACAAAATGGGCTCTGGTTTTGCAGTGAAATCATCTATTGGTGCAGCATCGGAAAGGAGCCTGCAACAGCAATTCGGACGCGTTCCAGGCTTCAGAACAGTTTATGCAATTCACCAGAATAGTGCCACGTTTTTTTTTCT